GAAAGGGCCATTCGCGCTCGTTACCCGGATTGGGAAGATAACAGTGTGGTGAGTTACAGCTGGGAAGGTTTGACATTCCCCCGCCGTCCTAAACGAATCCCTACGCCATCCCCGCCTCCCTCCCTGTAATCAGATCGAGCATTATTTTGTTTTGTTATCGTTATCCGAGCCCGTATGATGCGACGCCGCGCGAACATCTTGATCAAGCGTGCAACTGCCAAGCCCGACGCTTGCCCTCTACCATGGCTGAGACCCCCGTCAACCGCAAGTCTCAGGTCAGTGTCACGAAAGAGTACAGCGACAATGCGACCTACTCACCCGCTTGCAGCGTGCTGCCAGCGACGCGATGGAGCCGTCAACTGCAAAATATGTCGAAGCGATCGACCACATGGATTTGGGCCATGTGCACATCATGCCCCCACCCGTGTTCCGCCGCCGCTGCCCCTTTGTCCGGCGCCCTCGCGCTGTCGCCACCCGGAGCCAGACATGCCCGGACCTTATGGCCACGGCCTGGAGGGGAATGGTGCCACTTTTGTCATTGGCCGGCCTCGCGAATACCGCGATCCTCCATCCAGCAAGAGCAGGTCAGAAAAGGCAGCCCGCGCGCAACAAGAAAGCGACGCAAAATTATTAGCTCGCTTGACCAAAAGCGAAGAACGGCAGGAGCAGGAGGAGCTCAAGGCCAAACGTCGCGCGACCTCCCAGCAGGGCAAGGATGCCAAGCGGTGAGCATTCCTCTTTGGCCAGAGATTGATCTGATTATGAGTAGGGCCCGGACGCATTGAGCGCTGATTTCGCTATATTTTTTTTTCGCGTTGAATATATCCATTGCTGCCTATTTGTGCATATCTTTTGAGGCAAATATTTATTCCAGCACAAGTGAGATTCACGGGTCTGCGATTTCTACCTGAAACTCCTAATCTTTGGTCAGATGTGTGCGGCGAGTCATCAAAGGGCGCATCCGGCCTCGATGGCATTCGAGGAATTCTCGTTGGATGATGTCCTGGGTGACCTTCCAACATTCACTTCGCAATCGGTCTCGCAGGACGGGCACCATACCCATGTTACCACCCATGTCGCCAACCTACCATCTCCCCTAAAAAAACGGCGGCGGCAGGCAGGTGCTAACCTGTTCGCTGACGTCGGGGATGGGTTTGAGTATGTTTTTGAGGACCTACAGGAGCAGGCACCTCCGAAGGCGGCGCCTCAAGACCACAATAGGAAGCCGCGAGCTAAACATTATCTTTCGTCTGTAGGTTGGCCAATCCCTCGTGTGTTTCGCATGCTAACAACGGTCTATTCAGGACCGCCCGCTCGCTGAATGGGTGCCCTTGCGAGACGAGTATCTCGCTGAAGTTATTCGTCTCGAAGGGCGCGGGGATGTCTGCACCACACACTGCCCGAGTTGTCCAAAAACGACACCCCGCGAGATTCCTCGGTGCCGCTGCATGGACTGTATGCACCCCGACCTGTACTGCCAAGAGTGCTGCATCGTGCGCCATGTTGACCACCCCTTAGACCACATAGAGGTATGCTATTTAAATTTGAGTGCCGCGGGGTGACTGACGAAGATTAGTTTTGGAATGGCGCGAATTTCGAGCGCGTCAGCTTGCAATCTTTGGGCCTCTGAATCCAGCTTGGACACGAACGTGGAGCCAGGTGTGAGAAGCCGATTGCGGGGCCCGTCAACTTTGCTGTGATCAACACCAATGGCATCCACGACGTTCCGGTGGATTACTGTGGCTGCAGGCCCAAGGAGGTTGTTAGATCGCGCCGCCAACAAGTGCTGCGAAGGTCGTGGTATCCAGCGACACATATGGAGCCCCAGACCTGCACGACCTTCCGGGCCCTGGAGATGTTCCATATCATGACTCTTCAGGGGAAGGTCACAACATACGACTATTACTCTGGCTTGGAAAAATTGACGGACAATTCGGGCTTGTATAAGGTGAAGGTGCGTATCGTTTACCATCATTTGCGCTTCGCTACTTACATGCCGTTTGTTCTCCAGGACAGATACAAAGCCTTCATGCGGACTATGCGCCAGTGGCGACATCTTGTGTTGGCAAAGCGTGGAGGGCGCGTGAACGACGGTACACGGAAGGTGTCAGAGACGCAGCCGGGGGAGCTCGCAGTGTTATGTCCGGCATGTCCACGACCCGGCGTCAATCTGCCGGAAGGCTGGGAATCAGCATCCAATGAGGATAAGTAAGTCGTCCTCTCAAGTTGATGGCTTCTCATGCACTGACAATACGTGTCAGGTTTTTATACTTCATTTTTCTGGCGATTGACGCTTGCTTCCGTCTGAAACGCCGGCTCGTGTCCAGTGAAGCGAAAGACCCCGGGCTCGGGACTGGATGGGCATATTTTACGGAAGACGCTCCATTTCGGAAATTCCTGCTAACTGTGACGGATCAGAAGGAGGTTCGTAATTGCGCCGACGATCATGACATTGACAGTCGCTGAAAACGATTATAGATGAGTACTTGCAGTGGTCTGGCAGCTTTGGATTACGCCAACACTAAATTCTCGCGCGGTTATGGAAGTACCGGTGTGGGCCTGGGCGTGTGTGCCCGCCACGAGTTCGTTCAGCCTACCGGTGCGGCTGACCTTCAGCGAGGGGAAAGGTATGTGTTGTGGAACTCGTGCAAAAATAGTGCTGACTCGGGGATATTATAGATTCGCGAATATGGATTGGATTGTCGCATCCCTGCTACGGCATATCTCCGCGAGCCTGTTCAAGTTCTTCTCGTACGACATTTGCTGCCAATGGAGCAAATACCTCGTTGATCGCCTGAAGGCCTTGCCGCCCGGCTTGCGGCTCACGCTGGTCTTGGGCCTACTCCGCTTCGTCATTCCAAAACTACACATCTACGGCCACAAGCTTCTATGCCAGCTATACTTCTCCCTTAACTACACACCTGGAGCCACGCGCACGGATGGGGAGGGAATCGAAAGGCCGTGGGCCAACATCGGGCCCGTTGCGACAAGCACACGGGAGATGGGCCCTGGGTCGCGTCACGACACCCTCGATGATCACTGGAGCCACTGGAATTGGCAGAAATTGATTGGACTTGGCGCGCTGCTGAAGAAGCGTCTGATGGCGGCCATCCCCGAGTGCAACTTTCAGCGAGAGGCGTTCGGGATATTTACAGAGAACCAACTCGAGAATGTCAGCGCGTGGAAGGCGCTGGTCGAGGCATTTGAGGCAGACCCGACAAAGCCGAATCCATATGAGCTGCCCAAAACAGGTGAGAATGCATCGTCTGACAAGGGGCTGTGTCACTGACATCGCTTGCATACAGGTTTGGGCGAGCATGATGTACGCCTGCAGTTTGCGAAAGAGGAAGCGGCGGAGGAGGACATGGGAATCCTGTCGATCCACAATGTCAGCCCGAGCGCATTCATCCTTGCAGGACTAGACCTTGAGGAGCAACAGTGAGTCTTTTCTATCGGCGATGCTCGCTTAGTCCTGACAGATGATATAGGTGTCGCGTCAAGGTTGCTGTGCAAGCGCGCAAGAATGACACAAGCAAGAGCTCGGCCGAGATCATGGAAAAGCGCACGAAGATTAGCCGTTACACTGCACGCTTCCGCAAGCTTCAGGCGGTCTACATGCCTGGAGCTTTGCAGGCGCTCGCTGAACGGCCAGCTCCGGGGCCGGGGAAGGAAGAGGAGGCTGCGTTAGCGGAGAACGTACCACTCTGCCTTCCATCTGCACTGTCGGAGGAGCTCCGGGCCTCTGGGTGCAACAAGAAGGTTGTGGATATCGAGACGCGTTTGCGCGACACGCAGTGCCGCAGCGCGCTCGATCAGATTCGCAATTACCTCCACGTCAAGTCTCGGTTTCGCACTTACAAAGGCGGCAACGTCCGGCATCAGGGCACCACAACTCGCGCGCGTAACCTGATGAATCGCAACGATGCGAAGATCAGGATGCAGGCCGAGAAGTATGTTGCAGCCTGGGAGGCCAAGCGAGCGCTCGTCGGGGAGGAGTTGGTGGGTTGGCGCCGCTTGGATCCGAAGAAGGATCTTCGGTGCATGGACAGCGAGGAGGACTGCGCGCAGGTAAGTAAACGGAAGATGCGCGGGAAAGCCAGGAAGCGCATGGCAGGGGAGGCCGCCACGACAGAGGATGTCGCTGATGGAGTTGCAGAGGGGCACGACAGGCGCACCTTTACGAGAAGATTGTGGCGCATTTTGAGACGATGTGGGCGGGGCTACAGGAATTGGAAGCCGTGGAGGGAGGGGAATACGACGAGGAGGGGGCGAATGAGGATCCCGAGGATGAGGACGAGCGCGAGGGCGCCGACGGCGAGGAGGGGAATGATGGGGACGACGAAGAGGGGGGCGATGATAACGTCGGCGACGCGGAGGAGGAGGGATCGGTGGGGGGCAGCACGAGCGAGGAGGAGGAGGAGGAGGAGGGATCCGCTTTAAGACTGTTATAGATGTCACGCTATGTGATGATTTGACAATGTGCTGGAAATGCCGACCACCGAAATAAGACGCGGCAATAATGAGGGTGATGAGATCTGACACCCCGACGCGATGCCGAGGGGCCTGCTGGCCCCGCAAGCGCAAGCGAAGGGTGCCGGGGAGCCGCCCAGGAGGCACAGAGATGATGTTCCCACAACCGAGGGATCTCGCGATATTTTGCAAAGTGGTCGTGGACCCTTCTCGGGATATCTCGCAAATGTAGTATGACCACAGGTGTCACGGCCAGAATTGTACACTGCTTATCACCGGCCTCCAGAATTCCAGAGGCCAATGAAACCAGGTTTTTCTGCAATGAAGGATTACTGAGTGTTTCCCGTTTTTTCCCGTTTTTCCCTTGTTCTAATTTTTACTTACTTCTCGAGTGGGCTTCACCGCTCTGCAACTTTGACTTGCGGCTTCATCTGTTGTGAGCCATCACATTGTGATAGCTCCCGACATGACCTCAAAACACCGAACTCCGAGAACAGCTGCATGTAAAAAAGCAACCTTACCCAACATAATGGCTCGACAGAGAATTGAACTCCGGACTTTCCGTCAACCAATATGTAAATGCTGCAGTTCCATGGAGCGCGTTACCACTATGCTACTAAGCCATCCAAGAAGTCGAACTCGATGGCCACCAAGGACCAACTAAAAATTGGCTAATGGCGTAATGGAACGCACTCCGACATGGTAAAGCCGAGCACCATCATTCCGGAGAGTCTGGAGTCATTTTTATGTGTTCCCATGGATCTCCTCGGAACAGTATGCGCGCTTGCTTGAGAGGTTAATGAAGCAACTAGAGAGGGGTTCTGACAGTGCTCTTCTGAGAAAAGGAAAAGGTCTGAATCCCCTGCTTGGTCGTGATGAAAGGTTTCAGAGATCCCACATAGCTTGCGTTTGCAATACGATGGAGCTGCACAGAGGCCTTTCTTAGTTCTTGGTTAGTCGATTGGTCGGAACTCGGTTTCGTCTGCATGCGGAACCCTAGTTCTCGGAGCACGTCTACAATATCTCTTCATTGTTCTGGAGCTTGGAGGCGCCATCACGTTCTGAATTCAATATAGGTGTGTCATTCTCGGAAGGTTCCATTGGTGGCTTCTTATATCATCGGATGCCCTATATCGTTCTCGGAGCCTCAGTGTTGAATGGCGTTCGTCGTGGATACAGATATTTGTATTGGTCGGACGTCACAAAGTGATGGCTCACAACACATCAGTCCTCCAAGTCCAAACAACACCAATCCAATGGCTGGCTTAGCTGTCTTTGGTACACCTCAGAGTCCTGATACAAGGTATATTCCTTTTGATTGTTATTCTCTTCCTCTTGATCCTAGTCTAGTTCCAGCTCTTCTGGGCAGGACAGCCCAGCTACTGGTATAAATCTTTCATCTAGTCTAGACTTGGCCCTGTTTGTGTAGGTGCCGCCTCTCGACTGAGTCTGTCCATAAGGCCTAAGCTATGTGACTGGTAGCTTTCCATTTGGAGCTCATGTTAGCCCTTGCATACAGAGTGTGTGTGCTTAGGTAAGTGTAAAAGTGTAAATCACAAAAACTTGTGATTACATGCATGGTTAGATTCACAGCTTATCAGCAAAGCAGTGGTTGAGCTTCTTTGTCAAGTCCAGTCCATCAATGGTGATATATAGCCCTTACAACACCACTAGATCTCTGTAATTTGCTGCACAATTTCAAAAATGACACTTTGGCCGAGTGGTCAAGGCGATCGCCTGCTAATTATGGTAATTCCTAAGAGCTTAGCGGTTGGGTTTATCCCGCGTGTGTTCGAATCGCACAGGTGTCGTTTTTTTGCATCTTATTCCATTGATTTATATGTCCAGGCCAGATATTGGTGAGTCCAACACACAGCAGGTGTCAGCACAGATACTCAGCAGGTTTATCAACTTGAATTTGATAACTGAGTGACAAAGTGTGTGCTAGCCCCTGGGGGGGTAGTATGATGCTTCTAGCTACCACACTGGGTTTTTTTATAGAAGTGCTGAGCCAGGGGTAGATGTACTGGAGTGGTAGCATCATCGAACTATTAGTTGATATAATAGATAGATGCATTTGGGGTGTCAGTCAGGTCCAATTAATGAGAAGAGCTAATGGTCAGGAAAAGTAAAGCAGATTCATGACATCATATAAAATGTTAAGACATGTGTTATTATTATATCTTTTGGTAAGGTATCTAGCTTGCAGGGCAAGCCACTTCTTGGAATGCAGGAAACAGCTCTTCCTGTCGGAGTTTGCGAGCACTTGGAAGGATCACTAGGCAGGTCCCTCATGGTAAAAGAGCTGTGTCTATGTGTCTCCTGAGTGGCGGTAGCTCTTCTATTGCTCAGAGCTCACTCTGACTCTGCTTGTATATCACTTGAACAATCTTTAAAATAGTGCTAGAAAGTGTGAAAACATGAGACTTCACAGCTGGTTAAATAAACCAGTCATATCAGCAGTTCCAGATCTTTTGATCAATCCAATTGAGTATAGTAGCCTTTCACTCCTCAAAAAAACATAGTATAAAAAGGATTTTCTTAAGATGATGTAGGGGAGGGAAAATAGCTCAAGGAGAGAGAGAAAAAAGAGAGAACTCTAGCCCACCGCGAGGGTCGAACTCGCAGCCTTCAGATGACCCGCCTAAATAAGAGTCTGACGCTCTATCCGATTGAGCTAGGCGGGCATTTTGGATGGTCATCAGCGGTGGTTACAATCAACTGGGAGGCCTGTTCTCCCGATCCTTCAAACCAAAGCCTCCAACCAGCCAGAAATGGGCTACCACTGGCCTAACTTCAACTCAATAGCATTGTGTACCAGAGATAGAATATGCTTATTCTGTGGGAAATGTCTACTATCTGCCTCAGTTATCTTCCTGCAATGTAGTTCTGTTTAATAATATGTGAAGAGGTGGTTAATCATCCTGTATGCTGTACTTCAAGCAACACATGACTGGATCAGGCTCTATTTTATAATAACCCAACAGGACTCAGCTTACAGCAGACGATTGGGTTGTGGAACTCAATTGTAATCAGAAATACAATAGTCTCCTGTAGTCAGACTTCACACACAGTTTTATGATAGTTGATAAATCTATGATATGGAGTCTGATTCCATTGGCATCAGCCTTACAGGACCCCAGAATGACATGAGCAGCATGTGACTGCACATGCAATTTTGATGGACCAAATCAGGAAGTGCAGCAGACACGTTGTGTCTCCTGCTTCCTCCTGCCAGTTCCGCATCCCCTACATGTCGGACACATTCAGTTGGAGCTCTCCAGAGGGCTACAGCCTCATCTGGTGTATCCTAAAGAACACACTGCTCCTTTACACGCCTCATTGATCACTAACTGGGGAGCAGAAAGATGGGTTATTTTATAATGTACATCCTTGTCATCCTTGCTGTTGCAGAGGATCCAAGTCTCTGTCCCTCCGCCAAATTCCCAAGCAATCCTATCTTATTGTTATCTGCCTGACTATATCACTACAACTTGAGATGGTATGTGTTCTTTATCACTCCTGTAGTCCCAACCGAGCCACAGATCAACAGGCAAAGAATATGCAGGCTCTTGGCCTCGATGTTCTCACTATAAATGCAGAAATAAAGACCAAAGCATGTTGATGCCACAATGAAGATCTCTGGATTCTAGCGTGCACACCAAGCCGAATGTTGTTCTCACAGGACCTGAACAGCTCAAGTCTGCCAATTTTGAGAAGGCTCTTGGTGATGATGCCCTTTTCAATTGTATCTGTAGCACAGGATTTGACAAAGTGCATTTACTAAATTTGTGGGGGTAAATTTTCGGTTAGGGTTTTGCATAGATGGGGTTCATCAAGGCTCATATGTCAGAGCACTACAATCCTTGGATTCTCACTGCTACAGTTTATACAGGCTGTCCATTTGACAGCATATGCAGCCTTGTAGGGCTGCATAATGGAAACTACCACCTCATCCACAGATCTTGTTTCATCATCCTGTTTCTCCAATCTCAGGCAATGACTTTCCTGAATTCAATTGGGTGCTCAAAGAGAACCGACCCACTGTCTTCTTCCTGAAAACAATCTTCCTGGGTTTGTGAATGTATGCTATCTTGTTTGCACTGCACAATCCAACAACCCCAATCAGATCAGAGTGTACAACTCACTTAACTTCGAGTCACATAATGCCGAAACACATGAGCTTCTCAAGGCTGCTACTCCTGATCAAACTATTGTCAAATTGTGATTGGGACTGGCTCTCTCTCCGTTGGTGTTGGCATGCCCCATTGGCTCAATGCAATCCTTGTTGGTCTGGTGGATGACTCTGTCTGGCGACTTTATTCAGACGTTAGGTCGCATTGGAAGGTCACAAACACCAAATGAACAAGCCTGCAGAATCATTTATGTTACTCCAGATATCATCTGCGAGGAGAGCGAGATATCCAAGCCAGCAAGACTCTCTCTGATATTAGCATTGCAAGGCTCACACTTGCAGATTGTAATATTCAGGGATGTTACTGCAACCACCGTAAATGCCACCAAGTGAAGTACTCTACCCGTGCTTCCAAGACCAGCAACCAGTCTGCAATATTCATATTCCCACCCTTGAAGTGGATACTAATTCCATCATAAAATTTCAGAATTGATCCTCCACCACAACTTGGTGTTATACAACTCAGAGCAGGGCAACGAATTGAGTAACTATTCTGAATTATCATTATTACTCTGCCCTTGGCTCTAGTCTCAATAAGATGCTAGATTGTCAACATCCGCTGTATCAATAATTAGTTGCCTATCCCTATAGTACATATCTCCAGGAGTTATTTCAACTCGCTCAATAGCTTTGCTTTCATCATCTGACCAGTCAGACTCATGCTCCAAATCTTCCATCTGGGACTGGGTACCACTTAAGTTGTTTTGGTGGATGCAGCTAATCGTTGTTTGCCTTGTCCATTTTCTTAGTGCTCCCCCTAAGAGAACCTGGATCCCGCTCTGAAAGTTATGGGCGTTATGCTAAGGAATCCCATGAGTACGAGTAACCCGTGGGTGCGTACAGGTATACCCATGGGAAAACTCACGGGTATGTATACCCGCGGATCTGGGTACCCGTTCCCATGGGTATGCCACGGATCCGAGTTTGGATTCTGCTATGCACAATACTCATATGAGTCTTGACATATCTGCTGTCTTTTCAAATTTCTCTGATGTTCAATTTGCACAGTGAGTTTTCTGATGCATAAATCAATGGTACCAGAGCTGCTCTCTGAAAATTATGTTGCATACTCATGAGTACCTGCTAATACCCACTACCTGTATACCCACAGGTAATGGACCCGTGGATCTGAGTCATCCATGGGAAAAAAACTCATGCAAATCCGAGTTCCATATTTTTGGACACAGGTACTTGTGGCCACAGATCCGAGTCACCCACGGTTGCACTCGTGGGATGCCTTACATTACGCCAGTTGTAGAACCCGATCATAATCAGAAATACAATGGAAAAGGGACATTGAAGTGGTCCATGACACTTGTACATCTCCAAGATGATTTCTGCTCCCACTTCACTGATATCTTCCCTATCTCTTGCTGCTCCCACTTCTTTTCGAGAAATGGTAAATTTTGCGGCTTATTACTGATATACACACACATATACGTGCTCTTTTCAGTGCACTCCCACATGACATCAACTAGCGCGCTGAACAAGTCTCCACTCTAAATGGTATTCTACCCCTGTAATATCCTCCAGAGGCTGAACAAAGGTACTCTTTTTCACCTGGTAGTGTAGTGGTCCTGATTACAGCATGATGCAGAATGAGGGGCAACAAGGCAGTGGCACCATGTCAGAGTGGTAGAAAGCAAGGTGTAAAGGGCCTGTTTGGTCAATGATTGGACCAATTACAGGCTCAGCATAGTACAAATGTGACAGTAAAGAAAAAATAATTCTATTTCTGCCCTGAACTATTCTATCAGCTCATTCTCGGCTCCATTACTAGAGCATTAAAGAAGTACATCTTGTATCTATCTTTACTGTAGCATCATGTCATTAACACTGGAGCATGTCTCTGTTGATCTTTCCACATAAAAAGGCAAGAAAAAGTGATCCGACCTGGGATCGAACCGAGGACCGCCTGCGTTACACAAGTAGTTATCCCAAAATGAACAAAACCCACCTTTCGAGTGATTGAGATTGAACACAACTCAAATGAGTGAAAAAGTCCAACTCCAACTACTCAAAATACTGGATTCCAAACACTAAACACCTCTTGTATTGCACCAATGGTTATGATGAGTTAGGGTCTTTTTAAACACAAGTATAGGTCTAAGAGAGCTCTAAGTCAGGATTTCTTGGGTTGACTCTGTAGTGCAGGAAGTAACTCAGGGAGGAACTTTCTTGGCAGGTACTAGGTTCAAGTAATAATTTGACTGGGTCAAGATTGAAGCTGGATGAGTATGATTTTAGATATAAGCTTCTCAGCTATAGTGCAAGTAACGGCTGGAGGGCCAGCAAGTCATTTGAACTGAAGTTGGGGGTTTTTGTACACAAGTCCCATGGTTTGACAATCCCCAATTCCCTCTCTGATCTCAAGACACAGATGCATAGCACTTCAGACTCAAACTCAATTCACAACTTGTCAATCAAAGAAACTTTATTTCACGGGACCAGTATATGAATAGCAGAGTCCTTAGAGTAAAGTTGTTATATCTGTGCGGCTTCCGAGCTATTCCGAGCTATTTCGAGGTTTCCGGGATTTTCCGAGATTTTGGGCTTCCGGGTTTTTACACAATGAAGGCTTACTGAGTGTTTCCCGTTCATTCATCTTTTACTTCATCTTATTTTACTCATTTGCGGTGTGACGGGGTAGTACCGTCTCGGACATATCCGAGGGATCCAAGATTAGGTAATGTTTGGTAGCCTACTGTAGACCACTCAAGTACAAACAAGAATATACTTTTACCTTGGCACAAACCTTCATGATCATCTCACAATACTCGAGCTGATTATGAAACGTGTGGTGGTACTCTAGTCTCAACGGCATCGCCTGGGCAAGCGTCTTAACTACCTCCCTGGCTTCTGCCGTCCGAAGGGTTACAACGGAAGGTGGAGCTCTGCGGCGTCATCAGAGGATGATTCCACGTGCTGCTCCCCACCACCCATCTCGCAGGCGGCTCGCCCCCACCCGCTCGAGCTATGAGGATGCCTGTGCTGCGCCCCCGCTGCGAGCTGCGACATCCTCTCCCCGACTTCACACTCACGAGAAGGCACAGAACACATCTGTATCACATGCGGTCTGCATTCCATATCCTTGCTTTGATCGTTCAGGATTACCTAGTTAGGAATTCAGACTTTATGGCTGTACGTAATTATTACTTCGTATAAATATTCACTTGTACAGTACACTATCTGGAAAATTTAACATTGTTCCATGCTTCCACTTATGGACTGAGTCCTCCTTCATCTTCATCTTTGCCTCGACTCCGGATCTATATTTAGATCTCTGGACATCCTTTCATATTTTGACTTTGCTTCTCTCTTACGTCCTCCGACAATCCGATGATTCCGACTTTCCGCATCCTCGGCTGATCCAGGTCAATTATCCCTCCTCAGGATTTGCTATTTCAACATCACCGGTATTTGCCTCACCAATTCCCTTGGACTTTGATCTCTGAGCTGACTCGGACTATTTCCGGATTTCTCAGATCACTCGAACCTCGGCATTGGCCTTCCAGGAATTCCTCAGAACCTTTCCTTTGCTTCTCTTTTCATTAGGTATTCTTTTCTAGTCTTTTGCGTTCTCCCTCTGGTTGTCCTTCTATTCTGAAGGCTTCCGTATTTCATTCTTGATCTATTGTTAGATCTTCTTCCGGCCCTTTGGGCCTTTACCTATTCATTTCTATTCTTTCCTTATTGCCCTTCGGCATTCTTCTTTGCTTCTTGACTGTCATTGCCCTTGGGCGTGACATGGCATCAATCCTGTTGCCATTTCCAGACTAGTACCATTTCAGGCTAGCCTTCCATGTCACATCACACTTCCGTCTAGTCCCGGCTTGACAGCCAGACAGTTGCACATCCTGCTGAGTGTGGTGCTTGCGAGAACAACAATAACCACCATCACCAACCTCAAAAAAATTTCATGAGCCTTCTTGCTTAAAATCATCCTCCAGCGACTGTGAAACGTCACTAAATCACTCAAAACTGCCCCCAAAACCCCCATACCAACTCTTATTTACTATTTCCCAACCGTTACCGTGTTCGGGCCAACTGGCCGTGGCCGACATGCTGAATAAACGGGGGAAGATCGAGGATGATGGGTGTCAATTCAGATGTAATGCGGTAGAAGATGCGCATCACATTTTCGTGGACTGTGCGAGATACACAGGATGGCAAAAGAAGGCAGCGGACGACTTAAGGAAGAAAACGGAAATGAAGCTGATTGAGAAGGGCGTTGAGGAGGCCGCCCATGAAGGTCTCCTCACAGCAGCTATGTCGATTTTCTCTCACAACGACACGATATGGCCACTGAAGCACACTTTCTATCACCTAGGTCATCTAGCACCGCTTGAGAAACTACTGCCAAACAAAGCAGTCAACAGCAAGCTTGAAAACATAACTGGATCACATGATCATTTCATCATGAACACCATCAAAATGCAAGCAAACATGGTGGTTCTACACACTGAAGTACTTCTTGAGACATCAGCAAAACACAAGATATGACAGTTAAAAAAACGGTTCTATTTCTGCCTTGAACAATTTGATCAGCTTATTGCCCGCTCCACTACTGGAGCATAAGAAAACACATACTGTATCCTCATGTCATTGGCACTGGAAGATCTTTCTTTAAAAAAGCAAGAAAAAGTGATCCAACCCGGGATCGAACCGAGGACCGCCTGCGTTACACAAGTAGTTATCCTAGAGAGGAATTTCATGTGAAGCAGATGTGATAACCAACTACACCATCGGACCATAAGGAAATATGATTGGCAACAGATAACCCTAGAAGGAGCTATACTAAACAACCCATTATTTTTTATTTATCTCAAGTATTAAATCATAACTTACAATTCAGATATATATATTCATAACCTTTGCCTCACTGGGTGACTTCCCATAAGATTTAAATATTTCTGGTGAGTATTTCTACAATTTCTGCTGTGATGCCAATGTGCAATCAGGACTCCATCAGCCGTAGATCTCACTTAGACCCCTGAATAAATCAGAATCTATTTGAGGGGTATTTGTAGATACCCTTCAAATAGACTTAAGAAAAGTTGCCATCAATCATATTGACTCTTTTGGGTAATCACATGATGCATGTCACATCATGACTCCATCCATCTTGCCTGATCTCAGCCATTTACTCATGCCAGCTGGGCTCACTCTTCAATTTATGCATCCAAAACTTTTATTCACTTCACATTACTCTCGAATTCAACTTTGGCTCTAAGCAAGCTCAAAGACCATGATAAATCCAGCCGAGTTGCACAACATGGATGATATGTTCCCCTCTACTGGGTAGGCTCATTGGTACATGTTGGTGTAGTCAATGAGTGAATGCCCTTGCTTTATGGAGAGAAATGGGCTGCCCTATATACTGGGTACTGATCCTTGACAGCTCATCCAGCTCACTATAAATCCTGAGTTTATATTATGTTGGGCCTGACCTTTAGCGCTTTGACCCTGGTTTCCTCCAATTTACAGCTGCCAGACTATAGCAACAGCTTTGAATATTTTGACTCCTATAAGCTATAAAACAGGTGAGAGACAAATACAAGGCATACATGACAGGTCGGTGAATCCACGGTCTGGCTCACCGGAGCTGGCATTCTGCACTGTCGTGAGGGCGGGGGGAGCAGGTGGATCGCTACGGCCACCATGTCGAGTGCGACTAGTGACCAGAGGTGGATCCTTGCTGACAGGGGGAGGTTCTACTGGTTGCTCCGCATTTCTGCATCGAGGAGGCATTTGGGCCATGGGGGTTGAAGTCCAACACTCGCTCGTAGGCCAAAATATAAGGGAACCACCTACGATAATTTTTTTTTTGTTCAACAAATTGGTTGTGTTGTCGTGCACGGTATTCACCCAATCCCAGTGTATAACAGATTTAGTGACCAATAAGATTGTAGATTGTTCAGCATGAGTGCGTTTCAAGATCGGAAATGAACCTGAATTTCAGTATCCAACCAATCCCAATCAGTCACAAATTTAGTGAACAAGATACACACAGGTTCCATCACGAGATGTGCTTGTAGATCGGAAATGAACTTGAACATTGATAAGTTCAATGATCCATGAGGTTTGCGACCTGAGAATCTGATTTCTTTCCACAGACTCCACTGAACCCAGCCCTTTGTTTACCCACAAGGTTCGGCAATGGAACACGGCACCATAAGGAACATCACTACCAGTGATTCTTGCGAGCTTCATATGCAATCTGAATAGTTCAACAGTTAATGTGCTTGGATTTGGAGCATGAGTCTGACTGGTCAGATGATGAAAGCAAAGCTATTGAGCGAGTTGAAATAACTCCTGGAGATATGTACTATAGGGATAGGCAACTAATTATTGATACAGCGGATGTTGACAATCTAGCATCTTATTGAGACTAGAGCCAAGGGCAGAGTAATAATGATAATTCAGAATAGTTACTCAATTCGTTGCCCTGCTCTGAGTTGTATAACACCAAGTTGTGGTGGAGGATCAATTCTGAAATTTTATGATGGAATTAGTATCCACTTCAAGGGTGGGAATATGAATATTGCAGACTGGTTGCTGGTCTTGGAAGCACGGGTAGAGTACTTCACTTGGTGGCATTTACGGTGGTTGCAGTAACATCCCTGAATATTACAATCTGCAAGTGTGAGCCTTGCAATGCTAATATCAGAGAGAGTCTTGCTGGCTTGGATATCTCGCTCTCCTCGCAGATGATATCTGGAGTAACATAAATGATTCTGCAGGCTTGTTCATTTGGTGTTTGTGACCTTCCAATGCGACCTAACGTCTGAATAAAGTCGCCAGACAGAGTCATCCACCAGACCAACAAGGATTGCATTGAGCCAATGGGGCATGCCAACACCAACGGAGAGAGAGCCAGTCCCAATCACAATTTGACAATAGTTTGATCAGGAGTAGCAGCCTTGAGAAGCTCATGTGTTTCGGCATTATGTGACTCGAAGTTAAGTGAGTTGTACACTCTGATCTGATTGGGGTTGTTGGATTGTGCAGTGCAAACAAGATAGCATACATTCACAAACCCAGGAAGATTGTTTTCAGGAAGAAGACAGTGGGTCGGTTCTCTTTGAGCACCCAATTGAATTCAGGAAAGTCATTGCCTGAGATTGGAGAAACAGGATGATGAAACAAGATCTGTGGATGAGGTGGTAGTTTCCATTATGCAGCCCTACAAGGCTGCATATGCTGTCAAATGGACAGCCTGTATAAACTGTAGCAGTGAGAATCCAAGGATTGTAGTGCTCTGACATATGAGCCTTGATGAACCCCATCTATGCAAAACCCTAACCGAAAATTTACCCCCACAAATTTAGTAAATGCACTTTGTCAAATCCTGTGCTACAGATACAATTGAAAAGGGCATCATCACCAAGAGCCTTCTCAAAATTGGCAGACTTGAGCTGTTCAGGTCCTGTGAGAACAACATTCGGCTTGGTGTGCACGCTAGAATCCAGAGATCTTCATTGTGGCATCAACATGCTTTGGTCTTTATTTCTGCATTTATAGTGAGAACATCGAGGCCAAGAGCCTGCATATTCTTTGCCTGTTGATCTGTGGCTCGGTTGGGACTACAGGAGTGATAAAGAACACATACCATCTCAAGTTGTAGTGATATACACCGCCAACTTGCGCTGAGCCGGCCTCAATGTGGCCAGATCAGGTTTGATTGATCCACACGATCACGTCCCACTGTCCCCCGAGCCACCCGCCATCAACCTGCACAATGAGATAATGAAACAGCTCTGGTGCGCACCATTGTTGCATTGATCACAGCTGTTCTTCCTGGGACAGCGCGGCCACATGCCCAGCTTCCATCGACGTGGCAAGGCGGGTCTCCTTTGTATGTTAGTTGAGCTGATATAATAATCAGAATTTCCGTGCCATTCATGTTCCTCCCATATGAAAACACAGTGTCCGACCACATGAGAGATAATGAAATATATATTCAAGTATACAAAATTTCAAAGCTTTTCAACAGTCTGGCCCTGGACTCTCGCCAGCAACTGCATCGCGCACACGATACGCTGCGTCGATCCCAGTATGCTGGACATCGTCTCTGTGTGGGTCCCGCAGCGCTCATAAATATTCGATGCTACCTGTCGCTTCAAGAAATTCCGGGACAACACTCCTACGATGCATTTCGATATTATAAATATTTTTCAGAATTTCCTACAGCGCCCCCCAACAATTACGGTATTTGATTATCCCGCTTCCCTCTGGGACGCCTCGTGGGCCTCGCCACATAAATCTCCTCGCTAATATCATCAACATCCATCTCCTCGCCAGACTCGTCATCCCTAGGCTCTCGATCAGACTCCTGCTCCGAGTCTGATGAGTTGACGAGCTCGAAGTCAAAATCTAAATCGACATCGACATCTTCAGTGTCTCCACCAGCTTTTTTGGTGGTTCTTGATTTCTTCATCTTCCCAGTTGCCTGCTTCCGTGCTTTACGTTTTTTGGGCTTGGAAGCGGCTGCAGCGTCTTTGCGTTTTGCTCGCTTCCCCGACTGAGTTAGTCGAAGCTCCTCTGCGAGTTCATGATGTTTTGCGACACGGCTCTGTTGAGTATCAAACAGAGGAACAGGAGCCCAAGCAGATCTCGGCAGACAACGCCGGAGGAGGTGCGCATTGTGGAGAGCAGTGGTGTTGATCACATATTTGTCGAGTGGCTGGTGCTCGATGAAAGACTCCATAATAGATGACTTCATGCGCTCCTGCATCTTTGGTCGGTTCCCAGATGCTGTGCATTTGGCAGTGTAGCAGTCATGCTGAACGTTGAAAATGAACTGGATGTCCTAGCAGAATGTTAGCCAAACAGGTACAATGCTCCAGCGAGGAAACACACTGTGGATGGTACAATAATCAAGGTTTTCTCATCCTGCCGTCGGAATAATCGGGGAAGATTATATTTCTCGTGTCGGTGTTCGGAAACTTGAAACACGTCCAGAATCACCACGGAAAGCCCCGGACTTCTCAGAATGTGATCAATGCGCCCGAGTATTGGTGATTTCTGAGAAGAGGATCAATGAGAAGGAAGTTTGAGCTGGTCGTATAGTCCTCACTGTCACTGGAGATGTAGCATAAACCCAAGAAAGTACAGGGCACACATCCCTCGAGTTTGATACGACATTGATACATGATTCCCAGATGGACTCAGCGGAATATGAATCATGGTTTATTGCGTCAGGGGATATCGCGGCTAGGGCCATTTTTGGACGGGGCTGCGTCGGGTGACCCTTCATTCTCTTCAAAGGCTTCAATTTCACCGACCCTATTCCAAGCAGGAGCAGGTCAGGAAATATTCAGAATAAGCCAAGTAAGAGTAGTACCTTGTTTGAGCGGTTCTGGATCTGTCCACCCGAGAAGAACCTGAAGAATTGGTCTTGCGACAAGGAAATCACGGACGGCAGAGCCAGCCTGTACCCACTGGCCGATTTCATCTAGCCACCAGCCTCCGGTCAGACGGTGCTTGAGACCTTCCTGTTTCGCAAGCTGGTGCGCAATATCTCGGCTGGGTGCAAGATGGTTGGAAAATATGGAACAGAAGCGGAAGACACCGTTGTAGCCTTCAAATCCTTCGGTTGCAACGCCGACCAGTGGCCCATGGCGTAAGATGTCTGTTTTGGTGTGTGTCATGATGTGCAGCTTGTTCTTCGTAATGATCTTCGTTGGGTCGATCATCGCAAAAATATCAAGGACATTGGAGGTTGCGGTCTCCACATCGACCTTCAGAAT